TCCCAATTATTTATTTTGAAATCGTTACAAAGTTTTCTAAACTACTTCAGAGTTCATATAAAAGTAATGACATTGTTGCTTGCATGTATATATAAATATGAATGCATATATGTGTGTGTATACGTATGTCTGTATAAGTGTGTGTACGTATGTCTACATACATGTGTGTGTATGTGTGTGCGTGTGTGAGTGGTTCTGCTGTAAGCTGATGTTAATATTTGGAAATATGAGGTGTATTCAATTTTTTGTATAAATCCATAATGAATAAATTGAATTACATATAAATATTTTGAAACTTTAAAAATAATCAATTTTATGAAAATTTTAACGTCAGAAACAAATTTCTCTTTAGACAGACACTGAGGCTGTTAGAAGATAATTTGATGATCGGCAAATCGTACGGACGGATCCTTCATGCGCGTGCGTGAATTCAAATTATCCATCAGACAAGATTACCTCCAAATTCGGTCACCCACTTTTTATATTCCCCATTTGTCGCATGTGTATTTGGCAGTCATGTGTGAGTGCATGTGGTGGCATGTCGTTGGGTGGGAGCAAGTTTGTTGGACTTCGAAAAAAGTCACTTTTACTCTTCTTGCCGAGATCATCCTCAGGGTTCAGAGCCAGTGACTGCATCAGATCCTCGAACAACACCATCTCCTGACCAGCACCCTCCTACTCGCCCGATCACACCCCCTCCCCTCAACAACTCCGTCCCACAGCATATTACACTTTTAATAAGGTCGCCTTACCTTCCCAAACAACTGTAAGCAGCATTTGTTAGAATGAGTGGCGCTCCAATTTAGGATGTTCTCAGTTTGTGCGAGATTTCGTAAAAATGTTGGTAATATTAATAAAAAAAATAATAATAAAATAATAATAATTATATTAATAATAATAATAAAAATAATATTATTAATAATTTTATTATTATTATTCAATCAGTTCATCACAAATCACTAACTTTTCTTTCAATTCACTGTTCACTCCTAACTCATCAAAAAATCTTCAAACAAATCAAAATGAATTCAATATTAAAAAACAAAATGATGACTGAAAATAAGTCATTTTGAAAATAAAATACTTTAGTTAAGTAGAGAAGTTTCACGCATGTTCATCCATCCATTCATCCAGCCGATGTTCAATGGATGAATGAATGAAGAAGACAAACTTTAAAGGGTTTCAATGAAGGTTCCGTGAATTGTAGTAGGAAATAGGCTGAGATCTGATTGGTCGGAGTTATTAGTGAATTAAAATTGGAGTGTAGGTGGGGGCGTGGCTTATAATAATTTTCTTCACAACAGCGTTTACTGCAGCCAATCATCTTTGCTATGACTCAGTTGATTGACATTTGAAAGTGAATGTGTTTTAAATTAGATAAGTAATTAGTTGGCTGAGTGACTTATTTTTATGCGTGTTTGATGACAGTAACGATGATGATGATGATGATTATTATGTTGATGATGATGATGTTGATGATAATGATGTTGATGATGACGATGATGACGATGATGATGTTGGTGATGATGTCGTTGATGATGATGATGATGATGATGATTATGGAAACCTATATAAGTTAACTCCGGTGATAATTAATTAAGTTATGCTTAATGATATTAAAAAAATTTTAATTTTTTTATAACATTTTCTCAGGCTGGTAAATACGAAACACAAAAGTTTTTTAGTAATGTTAAAATTGTAATTGAAATTAATTTTATTTCTTAAATAGTGCAGAAAGTACAAAACTGAAACACGCGTCGATGCTAACTTTTTTTGTTAAACAGAAATTTAAGAATTCGTTTCACCAGGCAACAAATTCGTGGTAGGCAAGCACCACCAACGTTTGTGTGTGTAGGTGTGCACGTGTGTGTGCGTGCGTAAGTGTGTGTTGCGTGTGTGTGATCTTTCAAACTATATTCAAAGGGTTTCAGGTTCATTCTGGTGCACTCAAGTTCGTTTGGTGGATCTGTCTTCCTAAGTATCTGAGTTGAAAAACTTTTACACAAAACGGTATAAATAACTTAATATTAATATTTCAATTTTTTTAAACCTTAATCTCAAACAGCGGTTAATTTTTAACCCACAAACTTCCAACAAGCAAAACAAACAAACGAACAGAATCAGCCGTGAGCAAACATTTCAGAACCGTAAAATAAACATTGCATAAACGTGGCGGGCATTAATGATGTCATTAAGGCTGGCTGGCTGGTCATGATATATGATGCCACCATGCAGAGAAGAATACCGATGTGATCACGACGAGGCATCAAAGAAGTTCTTCTGAAGTTTCGTGTGCGGTGGTGTGGTGCGGTGTAGTGGGGTGGGGTGCTGCATCTGCCCTTCAAACAGACCCGATGTCAGTCTGTGCGAGTCTCTGTGATGTCTTGCAACAAGCAGACGTGTCTTCAGAGCAGACATTTCTGATGTTCAAGTCTGAGTTCTCGTAACGAGTAGGGCAACTTGTTTTCAGTTCTCTGCAGTGTGGAGATGTGGACTGCATAATAGAAACATTCCAGTTACATTAATTTATTTATTACGTTGTGATTATCTAAATGAAAATACAGAACTGTTCATACTTAAACTAGATGCAACAAACCTTCATTCATCATTTGTTATCAAATGAAACCACAACAACACGCACAACTTCAATAAAAATGCAATGCAGTGTGCATGCAAACACACAAATACACAAACAAACACACAAACAGGTAATTATACAAAACGACAAACCAACAAACACACAAACAAATAAACGAACAAACAAGCAGACAACGCACCTATCCTTACTGTTCCATATCATGACGCAACGTGGGTTCGACATGAAATTAATTAGTTGACTCCCAGGTTCAATTAGTGATCAATTTGTTTATAATATTTGTCATCTTCATTAGCTCTGTTATTTTACTTTTCTAATAATTTCACCCTAAAATAAAATCTTGGAGCAGCAGCGGCCATGTAATAAATAATTCCCTTTCTTTCTTAAATACCTCACGATGTAATTTTTGATATTTCATGTTCTGTCTGCAACTGCATCATAGCTTTTATAAGCAAGGTTCCTAGTCTGCCCTCCTAACCCCGGCTTGTCAATAAAAATAATAAGTTAATGATTAAGTATTACCAGCATTGGTGTAGTATTTTTCGGATATAGTTTTAAAATTCTAAAGAGATTTTACACAAGAGCATGAAATATTCAACGTGTCATCGATGTAGTTTATAAATTTCCTATGTCAACTTGCATAACTGCTCAGAACTTTCAATGAAAACATGGCAGCCATCACAACAGCGCTAATTAAAATGCCTGATGACTGCAGTGTAATACGTTGGTTGGTTAGATGATTGGTTGGTTGGTTGAAGGGTTGGATGGTTGGTTGGATGATTGGTTGGTTGGATGATTGGTTGGTTAGATAATTGGTTGGTTGATTGATTGGTTGGTTAGATGATTGGTTGGTTGGTAAATTGGTTGGTTGGTTTGTGCCATATTTAATGTTATACTTTATATGCTGCAATATTTGTTTACTTGAATGTTTATGCATTGTTTGCTGCTTGTTAGATATTGTAAAGAAAGGTGCATGTGTGCACGGAACGGAATTAATTCGAGTAAAGTTTGAATGCATGCAGGAAGGCATGGCACTAGCAGCATAAGTTGTACTTTTGTATGTTGTATGCGTACTATGCACACAAAAACTCAAGTTGTATATCTTCATGTAAGTTTAAATGTGTGCAAGTATGCAAGTAATATTAGGCACACAACAACACAGTGGATGTTTCAACAACACGTCCATACAGCACGTTTTGCAATTTGTATACGATCATAATTTGTCGTAAAAATGCTAAAAATTCCAATTTTTTTTCTACTTTTTTGGTAATTGAGATAATAAGAAATAAACGTCACTTTGAAGGAATGTTAAAATGACAAAGCTGCTGTTTGTGGCAATCCAAACAATGCGTCAAAACATTTGAACAGCTCAAGAAAAAAAACGTTCGAGTTTACATTAATAATTGTATTTTTTCATTTCTGTTTGTGTGTCTTCCTTTTTGTTTGTCTATTTTTTTGTCTGTCTATTAAGGCTATCTTTTTATTTGTATATTTGTTAATAATAAAAATATTTTTATTATTACTATTATAAATATTATTGTTAGAAATATTGTTATTATTATTAATTTTGCTGTTGTTGTTGCTTTTAATTTTAATTTTTTTAAATCGATAAATTAATGATAAGAATAATAATGAAAATGACAACACCAGCATTGTGATAATAATAACCATCAACATCATCACCAACACCTTGAACAACAAAAATCATCGTTATCTCATTTGTAATCATAATCATCGTCATCGTCAAAGCGATCATCGTCATCATCATCACACTAATCATCACACTCATCACCACACTCATCATCATCATTATCATCACCATCACATTATAATCATCATTATAATTAGCAGAACATCAAAGCCCCGATTACTTGGTCATAATCTGAAATGACCTTCACCTCATTCAAAATTGTTAACACCTCAACGCCATCATTATCATCTCAACACCAAAATCATCATCATCACCGTCATTGTTACTATTACTAATCAGCACCATTATCATTATTGTTACTGCCATAATGACCACCACAATCATCATCGTCATCATCATCACCATCGTCGTCATCATCATCATCACAACCGTAATCATCATCATCATCAGCCTCATCATCATCATCATCCCCACTCTTTTTTTTAATCACGTACATTTTTTTCTTTTCAATGGCCACCAATGAGCAGCCGGCCAACGTTCAAGTTGGCTGGCGATCATGTCCTCCTGATATTATTAGCACAGGCAGACAGAGGGAATGTGGGTGATGATGAAATTTGAGAGATGGCTGCACGAAATTAATGATGATGATGCTATCGTTTCCAATGAATAGTTGATGAAAACAACAACAACAACTAAAACTACAGCAGCAACAACAGCAACTACTACACTACAACTACAACAACTAAAACTACAGTTACTACAACAACAATAATAATAACAACAACAATAATAACAACAATAATAATAATAATAAATCATTAAAAACCATAACTCAATAAATACCCAGAACGGATTATTGCGTTGGTGTGTGTGCGTGTCTGTGTGCGTGTCCACCTCCTGTCCTATCATGCGTTCTTCAGTTGCTCCGCTTCGCGTTCATTCCATGTCTATGGAAATTTCTGAAACCAATTTGAAAGTTTTTTCAAAAGATGTACAATGTACACGTGCTTCGGAGCAGATGATTCCAGGGATTGCTTCGTGAATCATTCGAATTTTGTCGTTCGGTGTTAAAGTCTATAACAACAAACTCTTAAGAGGGATTACAGATGTAGTTTAATAAAGTGTCGTGTATGCATGTGTGTGTGTTTGTGTGTGTGTGTTTGCGTGTGTGCGTGAGTCAGGGTGTGCCGTCTGCAAATTTTTTGTGGGAACTGTAAAGCCCTTTCTTCCAAGATACCAAGGGGTCTCGTGGCCTAGTGGTTAGCGTGTCCGTCTACCACTCCCACGACCCGGGTTCGAATTCTGTAGTTTCTACAGATTCATCCGGGTAGCCAACCCCCGGTCAACCTAGCCGTCCATCCTTTCGAGGTTGGTAAATGGGTAGACGACGTAAGTCGTTACATGTTAGCTGGCGAGATGGCTCAGTGGTTCAAATGCTCGCTGCGTCAAACCTCTCAATGGCTATCATATACTCAGCGTATATGATGCGGTGCTTGCGCGTGCACATAAATACATGTGTACGTCGTGTGAAAAGGATAAACATAATATATCTGTAACATTGTAAGTGGTTCTGCGTATGTCAGAGCTGCAATAATAAAGGCTAATAATCTAATAATAATACCCAGCATTGAGTCAACACTTTGTAGAGAATTGTTCTAAGTGTTAGATATTTTAAACGGTAATAATAATAATAACGTAGAATTGGACGATGGATGTTTTGTTAAAGTCAATGATGTTGATGTTGATGGGGATGATGAGAATGATGGTAATGATGATGATGGCAATAAGAATGGGGATGATGAAAAAGATTAAGATGAAAATGATGATGGTGAGAATTTTGTAGTTGTTGCTGATGATGACGACGACGATGACGTGGTTATTGTTGTTGTTGTTGATAAGAATAATGATGTCGGTGATGTTGATGATGAGAATGATGATGACGATGATTCAGAGTTGTAATCACATCCATAAATTACGATCGAGTGATTGTTCAAATTGCTCCCTTGTAAAATAGCCCATTAAAACAATCAGCAGCCTGTGAAGATAAAATGAGATGTTGAAGCAGGAGGGAGAGAGTATGAAGTGGAGAAAATGTAAAAGGAGAGAGAAGACTTGAAAAAAAGTGGGTGGGTGAAAGTTATGATTAAACTGTCATCATTACCGCCGTCGTCATCATCATCATGTTTAATGATCTTCAAAGAAACCGTTGGAGCCTGATAGTGAATAAAATGATGGATTTGGTGATGATGATGTTGAGATGATAATAACGTGATGATATTATAATGATGACCTCAAAATAATTTTTCCGGCATTTGAATGATGAATTTGCATAATTTATTATCATTTATATCAGCTCTACAAACAAAACATAATAACTAAATTGATGGCCATATCATCCTTGTTTGATTTTTGTGATGTACACAATAAGTCAAATAATAATTAATAGCCTGCAAGTGGTAAATATATACCTTCGCTAGTGCCGACGTCAAAATCTCTTACTCTCTCTCTCACTCTTTCTCTCTCCCTCTCTTTAATTGTTTCTTTTTTGTTCCTGTGTGTGTTTTGTTGTATGCGTGTGTGGTTGTGGTTGCATTAAGGACTGTACGTGTTTGTAGGCCTGTGTGAGTGTTCATGTTGATAATACTGATAATACGACAGTGATCGTGAAGTATGCTATATTTTTATTTTTATTTCTATTTATTATTTCTATTAACTATATTTTCAACATCACTTATAAACTAAATAATAAAAAACTATTACTACTACTACTACTACTACTACTACTACTACTACTACTACTACTACTACTACTACTACTACTACTACTATTACTATACTACTGCTACTACTACTACTACTACTACTACTACTACTACTACTACTACTACTACTACTATACTACTACTACTACTACTATACTACTACTACTACTATACTACTACTACTACTATACTACTACTACTACTACTATACTACTACTACTACTATACTACTACTACTACTACTACTACTACTACTGCTACTTCTACTATTACTTGTGATAATTTTCAAGTTTTTAAGTCATTTTTAGTAAAACATATTTTTTTTATGTTTCATAAAACATAAAAAAAAGAATCTATAAGATATAACAAACGGAAATGAAATAAAATGAGTTATAATAATAATAATTAATTATTATAATTACTATTGATGGAGTGAGTGATTTACACGAAGCTCACCGTTCAATGTGAATGTGTACGAGATGAATAGATAA